TGACAAAAATGAGTAATGATAATTTGGAGCAAAACACATCACAAAATTTTTGGAAATCAAGAAAAGATTCACTTATTTCTTGTCCAGCAAAAATCTCCTATTTTGTATAATTGTACAATGGTTGCTGCAATCATATTCATCGGTGCTTTCATTAACTTGGGATGTATTTTGTCTGGTCCAAGTGACTTGAATTCACTGAAGGCAGAGAATTACTCCTTTTTCATCTCCTTACTTGGGTTTCAATTCCTTGTATACTGTCACTGTGCTGGAACTGATTCATACTAGGTCATTGTGAGCATGTACGCTTCAGAAATGAGCAAAGGCTACAAACCATGCCGTGACTTATGGCTCTGTTGGTTGTACAGACTTTAAAAAGTGACAGAGAAAATGGTAACATTTAGATTAAACTTCAAAATATCTCTTGGGTACTTTTTTTTTCTTCAGAGAACCCAGTCTTAAACTTTTACCGGCACACTACTGTTTTATCCCATTTTTGTTCTATTCTTCCTTTTTGAACATCAGATTTCTTGGGAAAGAAAAAGAAATGAAGCAAAATAGGAGTGGAATGATTCCATCTTTCCATCTTCTGATGCAAACAATAAAAGGATCTTATCTCTTCCTTGATCTTCCTCTTGAACCAAAATGGTGTAAAATAGCCCTTGACAATCCAAAAATGAAATGGACTACCTTACTGGCTGGTAAATGCCTCACCACCAGATGTCTTTACCTGGAGATCAAATGAGCCTCTGTCAGGGATGTTGCAGATTGAATTATGATTTAGGTAAGGGATGAAGTAGTTGGTTGGTGAGATTCCTCACGATTCTGAGAGCCCTAATTTCACATTTCTATAGTACTTTTATTTCTTCTTTTTTGTGACACCCACCACATTCTACCTGGTATTACAGCAATTTGCATATGTCTTGTCTTCTCTATGAGACTATAACCTCCTTGAAGCCATGGGTGGTGTTTCATATTTCTTTATGTCTTCACCTACTTAGTTGAGTGCCTTTCACATAGTAGATGCTCACTAAATGTTTAATGAATCAACAAATATACGTTGAGATTTTATTTAATAAAGTCACTTCCATTATATAAGATAGGGCTGATATACATTCTTCCCACTATCCTAGACCCACCAATATCATAATTTAAATAATTTACATTTCTATAACACTTTAAGGTTTAAAAGCATTTCTTTATGATAACCCTCTGAGATATATGCTATAAGTTTAATTATACCAACTTTACCAATCAGAAAACTTTTTTTGTCAATTAGAAATTACTAATTACCAAAACTCTTTCCCAATTAAAAAATGAAGTTCAGAGAGATGTAATTATTATCATATTTTCACATAGCTAGTAAGTGTCTCAGCTAGGACTTAACCTCAAATCTTCGACACCAAGACTAGTAGTCTTTCCTTTACACCACAGTGAGAAATCATGTTCATCTCTTGTCTGAGTTACCAAGGACATCTGGCTCAGAGAAAAGTCTGTTACCAATATTGATGATGATAAGGGAAAGGGCAAAGAGAAAAACTGGGCCCTGTGACTCGGGATATAGTGTGCACTACATTTCATTGTCTATTTCATAGGATCAAAGAATTACATATTTAAAGCTAGAGGAGCCTTCCGAGACCACCTAACCCAACCTCTTTATTTTACAGATTTAATAACTGTGACCCAGAGAATTTAACTGACTTCCCTAAGGCCTTAAAGAAGTAAGTGACAGAAAGATTTGGACTCATGCCCTCCAACTCTGAACCTGGTTCTCTTTTTCTCTAGACCAGGTGAGCAGGCCACCTTCAGTCACCCTGATCTATATCTTGCCACTGGACCCAGATGGCTCCAGAGGAGACAGTGAGGCTGGCGACCTTGGACAGCCCTCCCTCACTGAAATCCAATTCACTTGAAAGTCATGGTATCATCTTTCTGATGTCATGGTCTTCTTCGAGAACAAATGATAAACAAGACCAGATGAAATGAATGAATGAATACTTTGGGGAATGATGTTCCATTGAAGACAAGCCTTAAAAAATAAATGGGTAGGTTGGGTGTGGGACAGCTCTTTAATTACATTAACAGATGGGCTACTTAGAAGAGGGAGAAAAACTTCTGTCCTTCAAAAGCCCTGCCCTTTTTGTGGGTCTTAGAATAAGGAAAAATGATGGAACAAATTTCATGAATGGCAGTTAGATTCTAGAGCATGAGTTCTTGAACTTTTTATGGCATAAACCCCTTTAGCAGTCTGATAAAGCCATGGACCCTTTTTTCAGAATAATATTTTTAAATGTATTAAATACATGGGCTCAAAAGGCAATTAATTACTCAGCTACCAAAAAATTTAAGCAAATAAGTTCACCTATCTCAGGGAAGAACCTCCATATAGAGTATGCTAGAAGTGGAAAGGAATAGGGACAGTAATGACTTAAATCAACATTTCTTGGAAAAGGGCCACTACAAATGAATGTCATTCAGACTAAGAGAATGGACAGGAGGGACAGGACGGATCCTGTAACTCATATCTCAGCTGGGAAAAGGAAAATAAAAAGGAGATAAAGAGAAAAAATACTAATAAAAGTAGGCTCAGAGAATTTTTATTTGCAATAAAAAAAATAGAATCTGTGGGAGAAGGCCAAGGTGAGATTAGTGTAGGCAAAATAAAAGACAAGGACTCAGAGATAATTTAAAAGAGAGAGAAAAAATATTAAATCATTTAAATGAAAAATGCAAACACAAAACAATTATTAACCAAAAAGGAAAATATAGAGACTAACAAAATTAGATTTGAAGGTCCTGTGGTGATTTCTGAATATTAAAATAAGATTATGCTTATTTTAGCCTTTATATGACCAATTTATAACAAACTATGTTAGCAGCATAAAAATAATAAACATGAAAAATAGCAACAAAAAAGAATAATGAATATATCCTGGGTAGGCCATAACACAATAATTATGGTAATCAATAAAGGAAATGAATGAATGAAAAACATTTATTAAGCATGTATTATGTGTAAAGCACTGGAGATATGAATAGAAAAGCTAGAAAGATGAGTAAGCTAAATAAAATATTATTATCAAAAATTAGTACAAATCCAGAGATCTCTGAAAAGAAGTGTGATGAGGGCTGTCTGCCCACATGTAGCATAGAGGTGTCACTGTGAGACTGAAAGGGAAACAGAATAGACAACTCCCCTGCCACTCTTTTCCAAGAAGACTTTAATATCTGCTCAGAGGGGAAGTAGGAGGTTGGGGCCAGAAGCTGCCACTCTGCTCTCCTTAGAGAGAGGAGGTACTGCCCTAAAATTATATCTTCCTGCTCCCTTAAATATTATTTATTTAGGGGACGTGATTTTCAGATGCAAGCTAACTTCTGACCAGGACGTATGGGGTCTTCAGGAAGGACTAGCACCCCTGGTTTGAAGGCTGGCTGAGCCCTTTTCAAAGCTGCTCATCCAATTTTGGTGCCCACCTGGCACTCTACTCTCATCTGTGGGCTCCAAGAAGCTGTAACATATGCAATGGCCACACACTGATAAAACTGTCTTTCCAGCCAGGCTAAACCAGGTTGAGGGTAACAATAGGCCTCAAACTTGTCAGCAAATCAGGGAGATTTATTTGAACAAGTAAAAGCAGCTGTGTGATAATGTAGCATTAATATTTTAATGGGAGGAAAGAAACATGTGTCCCCTAAGAATCTTAATATCTCCAAGGGGAATTGAGGGAGCTGATTTGTTTTTAAGTCGCAAGATTGGTTCTATACAGAGAATTTGAAGAAGGATAAGGGAAGGGAGGGGAAAAGGCATACACTAGAATGGAGGAAGAAGAATAGAATTTGACATTCTAATTGGAATGTATGAGAAGCAGAGTATACAAACACTGAGGAAGGAGTGGGAGGAGCAGGCATCAGATGAACCTCATACCTATCTGAAAGACAAAATACAGGGTTGAAAATGTGTACATGAACACACACACACACACACACACACACACACACTGGTATAGAAATATATCAAACACAACAGGAAAATAAGAGAGAATGGAAGTAGGAGTAACAGGGAAGAAAAGATTGAGGAGGGAATAGTCACAAGTTTAACAAACTTCCTGATCCTGAAAGGAAGAGGAAAGGGGGAGAAAAGAAAAAACAATATGGAATCTAAGGAGGTACCTTAGATTGACTCATACAATTGGAGAAAGGTTGAACAAATTGTGGTGTATGGATTTAATGGAGGATCTTTGTACCATAAAAAAAAATTATGAAAGAAATTATTTTAAGGAATCCTGGGTTGTATGAACTAATGTGAAGTGAAGTGATTGAAACTGGGAGAAAAATTTATACAAGACAGCAACACTATAAAGAAAAATAACTCTGATCAATGCGATGTCCAACCATGTCTCTAGAGGATATATGATGAAGTATATTACCCACATCCTGACAGATGGACCCAGACAAGAGAGAGACATATAGTTTTGGACATAGTCACTGTGTGGATGGGTTTTGTTGTTGTTGTTGTTGTTGTTATGCTTATTTGTATAACACTGACTACCTTAGCCCTCATTGCCTGAAAGATCAGGTAGGTTAAAATATTACCCCTCCCCTGTAGTTCTCCAGTACCATTAAGGGTCTGTGGGTGTCTAGGATCTCTGCAAATGTCTCCAGCTACAACTGATGATTTTCTCTCAAGTGTGAAGTGTCTCTTATACCCCAATTCCATTTAGTCACAAACAGATTAGCTTTTATGAAGAAATATTTACTTCAAAAATTATAATTAAAATACACAAACTCACTCCCTGAACACATAGGAGGCAAAATCCCCTTTCCCCATCCCCACCACTTCAGTACCTGAGGGAAAGAGGAACAATTATTAGGGTCATAGTTTAGCCCAGTTCCTATAGAGCAAATAGTCCCAGGTCCATAGCCAAACTCATCCCCTACTAGAGTCCAAAGCACCCCAGTTTCTTTGGGTTTCCCTGCCAGGTTGGTTGGCTGGACCATACTACCTGGAATCCTGGCTCCAAGGTCATCATGGCTCAAATTCCCAAGTCTTTGGGGCTAGTAGGGATCACCTCCAGCACCTGAAACTGAGAAGGAAAAAAATATATAGAACAAAACAAGCACACCCAGACCCATTTCTCAGGTGTAACAGGGGAAAAGCAGGGGAAGGAAATCCTCCTCTCAAAAGTTTAGTTCATGGTGTCCTATTGATGAACTTCAGTCTTCACCCTCTGAATGCCTCAGGATGCTCTGAGCAAGAGCCAGCAGGAGCAGCAGAAAGAAGGAGATTTAAAGTTTGAAAGATGCAACCTAGTTTGGTTATGCAGCCAGTCAAAGGAGGCTACACATGTCTGCCTATCTGGGCATTCCCAGACAATCTCTGGTTTACATTTGTTATAAGTCTTTTGTTTTTTTGTCTTTGTTCTTGTTTTCCCCTTTCAGTTTTTGATTGTGATGGAGGTAGGGAGATGGGAGAGTGGGAATTCACAATATTGATACAAAAAGGAGAGGGGAGATTGTAACATGTTTTAATGCACATTAAAGAATATGATAAAGTTCAGAAGGAAATGTAGATAAGCAAGATACCTTTGAAAGTAACTTGGACAATTTGTGATATAACTTTCTTAAAGCAACAAGTATATAACAGATAGTCATAGTCTCACATAGAAGCCTTTTTTGTATTCTGCTGTGTATAAAATGCTGTTTTTAAATTTCAGAATAAAAATATGTTTTTAAACTGTGAAGTGCTACATGAACACGTTATCATTATATGCACCTTGTTGATAGTATGACTTTTAAAAGTTTTTGTCAAGGATTCAATCTAATTGAATTTTTATTGCTAATGAAATTGAGTCCTCTGATGATATACAGTGCTTCACAAAACAAGCAGCTTTGTACTTGTGATCTTTACCCTCTGGATGAAGCAGGAAGGGTCACCCAGAGCATGAACCAGAAAGAGTGGCAGAAAGAAGGAGACCATATCAGTCTTTCCAGTTTAAAGATGCAACTTGGTTCAGTTACACAATCAATCAAAAGAAGACTATATCACAGAGCAAGCAGCTTTGTGGAGTTAGGTGGTAAGTCCTACAGGCCCTGAGAAAAGAAATCCATGATCCATAAAACCTCTTTGTATATCTTGGACTGGGGCTCTGGTTCAGTCCATGTCTGTACCATCCACCCATGTAACCACATGGACTTTACATGGATGACACAAAAACCAGCTTCCTTTTACTCTATCCAAGAAATGCAAGACAAGGGAGACACATACAAAGAACATAGAACTGTAAAGTAAGAAGGAACCTTAGCACAAAATTTGTCAAAACTGAAAGGGATCTTAGGGCACAAAACACTTAAAACTCAAATTCTCAACTGTGATTTCCTCACAGGAATTTTTTCTAGTGATGCAGATTTCAACTCATCCATGCTTGATGATTCTGTTTTACTTTTGCCCATGACCTCCAATAAACTCAGCACATAGGGATCCACTCAGTATGCTAGGTGAGTTTCCTGGCTTTCTCTTAGCATCATAAGGAGGCCAATGGAATACAAGGGCTGTACGTTACTTATTCCTCACTCTCCCATGATCAGCTGATATATTTGTTTGATTACATCATTACTCAGCCTCTCCTTCCTAATTCCATTGGTAATGTGCAACAGCAATAACAGCTAGCATTTATATAGTGCCTTCAGATTTGCAAAACACTCTAAATATAGCATCTCATCTGATCCTATCAACAACATGTGTTAGGTAAGTTCTATTAGAGTCCTCTTATTAAAGATGCAAAAACTGAGTCCTTAGAGAGGTCAATGACTTTCCCAATGTTATACAGCTAATAAGTGTATGAGGCAGGATTTGAACTCAGGTCTAGTACTCTCTCTTTTGTGCCAAGTAGCTGCCTCATACATAGATGTAAGAATGTAGAACATAGAACACAAAAAGTTAGAGCTACAAGGGCCTTAGATATCATCTAGTCTAAATCCTCCATTCCACAAATAGAGAAACCGAGAAATTATTTGCCCCAAATCAGAAAATAAGCTGTCAGCAGAATAGGACTAGTACTCAAATCATCTAGTTATGGTTATGATAATAGCATTTACATGGTATTTATTATGTGCCAGGTACTGTGTTAACCACCTTAAAAATATTTGCTCATAGATACCATTATTTTCTCCATTTTACAGTTAAAGAAACTGAGACAAAATGATTTTGCCAGGGTCACAAGGCTAGGACATGTCTGAGGGCAAATTTGAACTCGTGTCTATCCTGACTCCAGATCTAGCTCTCTATTCACTGAGGCACCTGGTTACCTCACTGGATAATACTCTTGCTGTCTTAAAGTCATTGAGGTCCATATTTTTGCAGAGTTACAATGAGAGATCCTTCTTTGGAATTGGAATCCTAGACCATATCAATGCTTGGGTCTAAGTTTCATTCATGTGGTTAGTTATTTTATAATTGCCCCTGCCATCCCAGCTCAGGCTTAGAAGGTTATTTTCCAAGTTGTGCTGTGGGGTGTTGGTTATTTTTTGTCTCCTTTAACTTTGTTTGTTTGGTTTTAGAATTGTTCACTCCTCCTTAGAGTTAATAATCTGAAAAGTCAGTGTTTGCTCTTAGTCAGTCTTTGAGTATGTAGTGGGGAAGATAGATATGTACACGCCCAAGCCAGAATTTAAGAGTCATTTTCCTGCTCTTAGCTCCTTAGAAGCTTCAGAGCTCTTGTGACCTATATCCTGCTCTCCAGCCAGCATGGTTATAATTCTGAACTCTGAGTCAGGAAGATTTGGATTCAAATCTTGACTCAGACATTTAACAATTGTTTCACTTTGGGCAAGTTTCAATTTCTCTGAACCTCAGTTTCTATATCTGCAAAATGGGGATAATAACAGAACCTACCTTGGAGGCAGTTGTTAGGATCTAATGAAATAAGGCATATGAAGCCCTTTGCAAATGTTAAAGTTCTGTATGAATATAAGCTATTATTTGTTGACTGTGTGGAAGAAACACTTGGATAGCTTGACATGTCCATCAAGGATGAATGGATGTCTTTAACCAAGACATCTAAGAAATAATCTTATTTCACACTTCTAGAATATTTTTTCAAGGAGGCAGTTAGGGTTAGGTGACTTGCCCAGGGTCACACAGCTAGTAAGTATCTGAGGGTGAATTTGAACTCAGATCCTCCTGACTCCAGGGCTGGTGCTGTTTCCACTGCACTACCTCGCTGCCCCATCTAGAGTATTTTTAAAGTATTTTTCTTCCAGTAAGCCTGTGAGATAAGGAATGCAAGTATTATTATTCCTATTTCATAGCTGAAGAAACTGAGGCCAAGAAAAGTGACTTGCCCAAGGTCATGCGACTGGTGTGTGTCAGCACCAAGGTTGTAACCTAGATTTCCTAATGTCATATCTAATGTTCTTTCCATGACATCATGCTGCCTCTTAAGCAGCAAAGTACTTACTGTCTGGTAATGAATGGTGTGTGTCTTCTGAAGACATGGCTGCAAAGTGGAGAAGCTTGGTATTGAACTCAGCTCTCCTAACATCAGATCCAGCACACTTATTTTCATTCAAGTAGAATTTTAAAATCTCAAGCTATCCCTCAGGTTCCCATAAAGGCCCTAAAGACCAAAATTCATAATCTGAAAGTGTCCAAACTAAAAAAAAAAAAACCTTGGAAGAGCAGGGTTTCTTTCGGGGGGGGGGTCTGTGAACATTTTAAAAAAATATTTGTACAACTATTTCAATATCATCCAATTTATTTAATATCCTATTTTATTTTATGCATTGAAAAACTTTATTCTGGAAAGGGGTCCATAGACTTCACTAGATTGCCAAAGGGGGTCCAGGACACCAAAATAATTACATACTCCTGATCCAGTCCAACAGCATCAAAGTACATGTAAGGAAGTGGCAGGTTCTGCCACCCCCCTCCTCTTCCTAGAAGTGAAATCTGAAAGGGCAAGTTTAATGCACCTGGAATCTGATAACCCCCAGTCTGAGTTTCAGCCTTGCCATTTTATTACCTTCACTCTGGGCAAAGCGCTTCTCTCTCTTGTCCTGTTTCCTCATCTGTGTAAGGTAGCTCAAAGCCTAGGAGGTATGTTTCTGACTATAGAAACAAGCATAATACATAGCAAATGATATGGCATAATACATGAAAAATGGCAGGAATTTGAAACAAAGGATAGAGGTGAAGGGTGATGCATAATAGTGGCTCCTCTAGAGTTTTTTTTTCTTGCCTTCCTCACCTCCATTCTCCCTTTTATTCACATTGAATATCCACAGAATCTTGGGCTATAGCAAAACCACGTATCTTGACATCCACCCACGTCTTGTTATATCTCTTTGGTGCACATACGCGCACACACACACACACACACACACACACACACACACACACACACACCTCAACGGATTTGTAGACACAAGGATCAAATGGAGGTGTCAAGGAATTTCTAACTCCAAAATTAAAAAAAAAATGGAGGTCCAAAGAGGTTAATTGAGTTGCTCAGTGTCACGTGAATAATGAATGGCAGCCCAAAGATTCCCTCCTAGCTTCCCAGTCTGCAGATCCAACTCTTTCCACTACACCATGTCATCAGTGCATCAATAGACAACATGGAAACTATTTTTATAAAAAGCACTTTTTACTAATTTCTTACATTTATATAAAGCTTTGTCCTTTACAAAGTACTTTCCCATACTGCTGTAGAGTGAAGTGAACAGAAGCAGAGGAACAATTTGTGTAAGAGCAACAATATAGTAAAGACAAACAACTTTGAAAGACTTAGGAACGCCGGTCAATGCAGTGACCAACCACAATTCCAGAGGACTTGTGATGAAATATGCTACTCACCTCCTGACACAGAGGCAATGAACTCAGAGGGCAGATTGAGACATATTTTATTTGGACATGGCCAATGTGGGAATTTGTTTTGCTTGACTATACGTGTTTATAAGAGAGGTTTTGTTTTTCTATCTTTCTCAATAGAGGGTGGGAAGAAATGACAGGAAGAAAAGGCAGATTTTTATTGATGGAAAAAAATAAAATATTTAAATTTAGAATTTTTCAATTTAATTTTTTAAA